TCGTCGAGAAAGTACGTATAACGCTGGAAGGAAAGGAAGTTTTTACCCTAACCGATTACGACGTGTACAATTGTTACAAGGACTTGTGGAAGACGATTTACGAACGTCGTAACGGTTCGTATCAAGGTATCACTACCGCTAACGAACGAAAGGTACGCGTAAACGCCGGCGACAAGGTGACTGCCACGTCGGACGACGTTCCCTACGCCCTTAACGACGTGGCCGCCGGCGATGCGTACGGCAACAGGTTTTGCATACCCCTCGACTTTGAGTTGCTGACAGATCACATGCCCTTCAACCAAAAAATGCTGCACGATCGGCTCGAGTACGAAATAACGTTTAGACCCGCCAAGGACGTGCTCACGACTAGCGACGCTAATGCAACCTTTAAATTGGAGGGGATCGTTCTCGAGTACGAGATTATAAAAAGCGCGGCAGTTTCCCGTCAGACTAGGATGAAATATCTGGATAAATCCCAAATACTCTTTGACAGAGTGTTGATGCACCACAAAGACGTCTTAAACAAGGATCAGACGCTCTGGAACATTTCTCTAAACACGGCGGCCAAATCCATCAAAGGCGTGCTTTTGCTGTTTAAGGAACGAGAGACCGATTTCGGGCACGATCCCGAAAAGTTTTACAACCCAAAAATCAAAGAATGCAGCATCACGATCGACGGGTCGTCCAACGAAATTTACGCCCGCGGAATGATGCCCTACAGAAATTACGAAGAGATTCGCAAGCACTTTTGCAATCAAGCCTGCAAGGCGACTCATTTCACCTACATGACGGAAAGGAGATATCTGACGGATCACTACGGTCTCTGGGTCGATCTCAGGGCCATCTCGGACAACACCCTGCACGGAACGGGTAGAAAGATTGACGCTGATTCGGGCGGATTGAAACTGCAGCTGACGCGAGACGCAGAGACGGCGGCGCCGCTAGACTGCTACGTCTTTATCGTCGCAGACGCCCAGCTAAACATACAGGGGAACAGACTCGTCGGAGTAAACTATTAAGGTCGGCATATTAAAACCATGTTTCCCAAAGAGGCGCACTGCGCTCTGATTGTCGGAGCGACAAATTGCGGCAAGACGGTCTACGCGTTGAATCTGCTCGAGACGGAATACAAGGATTACTTTAAAAACATTGTATTTGTCTGCCCAACGTTTAACGTCAACTCGAGCTATAGACGCGCGTGGATAGAGCGAGACGAAAACGTCTTTTCGATCGACCCCGGCGAGTCTCTGGACGATTGCCTGACGCACCTCTGCAACAAGTTTGACGACGGCTCCGAGACGCTTTTCGTGATTGACGACTGCAGCAGCAACAAGGACATGAAGAGAAAGCAGCAGACGCTGTCGACGCTCGCCTTTTCGGGTCGGCACCACAAGAAATCCGTTTGGATTCTCACCCAAAAGTACAATTCCGTCCTCAAAGATTTCAGAGAGCAGGTTCGATGGATCGCGCTCTTTTTCTGCAAAGACAGAGACAGTTTTTACGATTGCCTGCGAGAGAATGACGTGATAAAAGACGCAGACGACAAGAAACGCATCAAAGACAAGATCGACACGACGTGTTTTAGCAAGTTGCTGTTGAAATGCGACAGACCGACTCGTTGGGGAATTCACATTGGATAAAATATATTTTGCATTTATTAAAAATGACTGACATAACGCACGAGATGCAAGCGCTCGCAGAAAAGGAATCCAAGACGACCGCGGGCGTCGCCCCCGCCGCCCCCGACCCGCCCGCAAAGAAAAAGCGCAAACCCAAAAAGAGCGAGCCGAAACCCCCCGTGTCGGCCGAGCCGTCTCTTACGTCCGAGCAAGCTCGAGCCGTTTCCGACGAGCTCAAGGACCGGGTAAAGTCTGTCGTGAGCGGGGGCAGCGCCCAATACTACTTTGGGCGGGAATACACCGCGGAGCAGATCGATCTCATGCCCGAGGCGGAAATTTCCAAGTTGTACACGATGCTAGAATCCAAAAAGGGCAGCGACGTGACGAAATCGCTCGGCAGCAGCGTGATTCGCATGTACAGCAAGACTATCGGTTACGTGCTTCCGATCGATTCGACCGAGCAACTCGGCGACGATCTCGAAAACGATCGGTTCCTGATGGAAGCGCTGAATCCCGTCGCGTGCGAGCTCTATTACAAATTTGGAGCGTGGCTGGCACCGCTTTCGGTCGCGATGCACACGGCGAGACACGTGAAATACAAACGCCCGGGGCAAGACGCCGAGCAATCGATCCAAGATCCCGAGAAATCCACGCCTCCCGCGGAGCCTACGATTACCGACCCGACCGAGTAATTACCGAGTAATTACCGAGTAATTACTGAGTAAAAAATTTGTGGTATTTTAATAAAATGGACGAAACAATTACCCAAGTCACGAGCAAGAATCCCAAGCGAGTTGCGGCCGGAAAGGCAATCGCCGAGAAACGACGTCAAACGTCGGAGACACCGCGAGTGTCCTTGGCGAGTTGCGTTCCGTATCTGACGCTCGCCGCGTTGGGATATCTAGTCTACGTAGCATCCACCAAGCCGAGCGTGTCGGCAAAGCCGCCAACGCCGTCCAAGCCGCCGCCGCCGCCTCGGGTGCCCAAGCCGCCCGAGCCGGATCCGTTTGAAATATAATTTAAAATCTCTCTCGCTTAAAAAAAGGTATGAGTGGCATCGATAAAAACGTAATTGTAAACAGCCTGTACGACGGAGCGATCGTGTCCACGTTGACGGTCGGTTACGTAATGATACTGAAAAAGGTGGCGGGAAGCAAAGCGCCCCTCGTAGACAAGCTGACGGTCGTCGATACGGCAAAGCTCGCGGGTCTGATTGCCGCTTCGACGCTGACCAAGGACATGCTGGTGGCAAACGGCTACATTCCCGACAAGATTATAAAATAAATACCCCGATAGTAAAAAATGGCAACCGTGGCAATGATGGTCGGCGGTGCGGTGGTAAACGCCCTAGCTTTTAGCGGAAGCAACTTTCTCTTCAGCCGCATGAGCGGCGGTGACGCGGAACGCAAACGGCACGATCTGGCCTTGGAACAATTGTCTCGGGCTCGAGATTCGTGGAGCAAAAAACGAGCCTCCCAACTCGATTACATTAACGAAAAACTCGGACGCGAGCAGCACGCCCGAGGAACCTTTTCGGACGTCGAAACTGCAATGAGAGAATACTATAGATTGGGCGGATCGCCCGGCGGCCTACAACTCGAGCGAGAACCGCAGCTGAGCGACTTTTACACCCCCGGCGAATCGCAGCAGGATGCAGAGCTGGTCGGGTTGATTGTCGTGTTGGGCGTGCTCGCGTACGTGGTCGTAAAATATTTATAAAAATACTTTTTAGTTATAAATATGAGCACAAACCGCGAAATACGCAAGCTCGAACGCGCATACTACGCTCCTCAGCATCTGTGGCAGGGCGAGGGGGCCATCGATCGACTCGTCAGCAAGACGAGGATACCGCGGGACGTCGTCAAAGAGTGGCTGTTTAAGCAGAGCATGTGGCAAATTTACCTACCGCCGCCACAACACGTGCCGAGCGTACCGACGAGGCAAAGCGTATCGGTAAACCAAGTCCATCAGGCCGACCTGCTCTTTTTACCGCACGATAGGTACAGGGGAAAAACGTACAGGTACGCCCTGACGGTCGTCGACGTGGCGAGCAGATACAAGGAAGCAGAGCCATTGACGGCCAAATACTCGGCAGAGGTTGCACGAGCCTTTACCAAGATTTACGCTCGCAAGTTGACGTGGCCCGAGACGTTGCAGGTCGATTCGGGCAGCGAATTTAAAGGTGAAACGTTAAAAGCCATGAAGGAGCGCAACGTACGCGTGAGCGTGGGAGTACCCGGTAATCACAAATCGCAAGGAATCGTCGAAAGGTTCAACAAGACTCTTGCCGTCAAACTGTTTCCACACCAGTATGCTCGGGAAATGGTGGATCCGACGAAACGCAACGCGGAATGGGTGGAAAATCTGAAACCCGTCTTGACCGAGTTAAACGCTCTAGGGCCCGACGAGGCCGTACGCAGGCGCGACGAAATCAAGTACGAGCCCAAGTACAATCGACCCGTCGGATTGGACGAGCCCGTCTTGGACTCGAGCCTGCGCGTGCGATACCTGTACAGACCCGGTGAATTGGAAGGGGGTGAAAGACGCAGAGCTACCGATCCGATATGGAGCATCGACACGTACGCCGTGCGAAACGTCATGATCAAACCTAATCAACCCGTCTTGTATTTTTTACCGGGTGTACCGAGGAGTTTTGTACGAGAAGAATTGTTGGTCGTTCCCATCGACACGCAATTACCACCCGAGTGAAAGTGGGCTAAGGGAACAACGCGTTGTATTTAAAATGACGCAAAATACTTGTCGTTGGATCAGGATGGGCTCTACCGAAACGTGTGGAAAAGCGATATTGAAGCATCAAGACTCGCTACCCGATCATCTACGCGGATATTGTCGCCGTCACAAGTTTAGTATCGTGCGAGGCGGGGGTACGGTTTCGTGCGAAAAATGTGGTAGGGGTTGCAGGACTATACTGCACAATATCTGCTATAGATGTGGCGGGCAAGTTGTGAGCAACGCGATACTCTTGCGACGTCAATCGTCCAGTCAACGTCCCGAGGGCAAAGACGGTTGTCGTTATCTCAAGATGGGTTCGACCCAACTGTGCAGCAGGAACATCTGTCGAGATCAAGACTCGCTACCCGATCGCCTCAAGGGGTACTGCGCCTACCACAAGTATAGGATGATACACGGTAGCAGGATATCCCCGTGTTACGTATGCGGCGTGGGATGCAAGGCTACGATCGACGGCGTGTGTAAAAGGTGTACACCCAAACGTCAGCCGGGGTGCCCCCGTAACGCGGTTACGACCCCGTAAATTACGCAATACAAACGTATTTCGTAATCTTGGACCGACGTACGCCCTCTATCGGTATAGTTTGCAAAAACTGATTTTGGCTTAAGGGGTCGGGTTATTTAGTTAAAATGACAAACCCGTACAAACAAGCACGAGGTAGACGCGGTCGCCGTGGTGGACGGGGCCGTCGAGGTGGGCGGGGCCGCAAAGGTGAACGCGACGACCTCCTAAAACGCACGCAGCGTCAACTCGAGGAACGCGAGGACCAACTAAAACGCGTGCAGCGTCAACTCGAGGAATGCGAGCACCAACTAAAACGCGAGCGGTGGAAACTCGAGGAACGCGATCAAAGCGAAAAACGCGCGCGGTGGGAACGCGAGGACCGCGAACGCGAGCAGAGGGAACGCGAGCAGAGGGAACGCGAGCAGAGGGAACGCGAGGACCGCGAACGCGAGCAGAGGGAACGCGAGGACCGCGAACGCGAGCAGAGGGAACGCGAGCAGAGGGAACGCGAGCAGAGGGAACGCGAGGACCGACGAGTTGCAAATCCGGGCAGAGAAATGCAGGCAAGGGCAGAACGCGAATTGGAACCCGTCGACGGTCAACCCGGATTTCGTCGTATTCGCGCGAACGTGACGCACGAAACGCATCGGATAGACCTGACGCGTTTTGTCGACCCACGCGTAATCTTACAATTTAGGGATCGCATCGAGGAAATATTACAACATCATCGTTTCGGAGGCATCAGATATCGACTCGTTTTAGGTGTAAATATGACGCGAGGGGAAGAGACGACCATACCCACCTTTCACACGGGTGAATTTAGAGTTTTCGAAGAATTAGATTTGGGTGGGGACGTAGATCGCATAGTCGAGATGATTGAGCGATGGGGCGAAAACGGATCGGGGTGGCACATAAATCATCTCGAGCATCTCGATATAGAGATTGTCAGGTATAATCCATTGCGCGGTGGCACGTACGTACCGTTACCCAACGTGTTGAAAAATAAAAAGGCAATCGTCAACGTTAAAGCCAAAGACGACATGTGCATCAAATACGCCATTACCAGCGCGCTTCATCCCGTCAAGGCTCATACCGATAGACCCTCGAGTTATGCGACGCATCTGGACGAGCTCGACTGGAGCGGCATCGCGTTTCCCACGCCGGTCAAACAGATTAAAATCATCGAAAAGAATAATCCTCGGCTCAAGATTAACGTTTACGGCTGGGCGGAAGAGGGTGGAGGATATTTACACCCAATCTACGTCGGTGGTGAGTACGAGGGTCGTACGCTGATTAATCTCTTGCTGTACGACAATCATTACATGTGGATTAAAAAGATGAGCCCGCTTCTCGCCGGTTACAGCAAGCACAAGGGGAAAAAGCATTTATGCTCGCGATGCATGCACGTTTTTAGTAAGGAAGAATGTTTGCTAAAACACGAGTCTGATTGCAAGGGTGTAAACGACGGCATAACGGCGGTGCAAGTCGTCGATGAAAAAAACAAGACGTTGAAATTTAAAAACTTGCAACATAAAGCCAAGACGCCGTTTGTAATCTATGCAGATTTCGAGTGCATTTTGGAAAAGATGTCGACAGACGCCGAGTCTGGACCGAAAACGGATAGAACCAACAAACACGTGCCGTGCGGTTGGTCGTACGTGGTGGTAAGGTGCGACGGCCAAGTGGTCGGCCACAAATTGCACAGTGCCAATGCCGGAAATGCTAGCACGTGCGTAAAATCCTTTTTGGAACAACTCGAGTTCGAAAAGGAGAAAATTGTCGACATTTTCAAGCGACAACCCGCCAACCCCCGCAGCGTGATGACGGCAGAGGATGAAGCGAGCTTTGAGACCTCAACGACCTGTTGGATCTGCGAACGGGGTGGTTTTACGGAATATAGCGGGGATGGCGGCTGTCGGAAATGCGACGCGGTCAAGGCCAACCCCGACAACAATTACAAGACGTGCTACGAGTGTGCGATGAAAAAGAATGGGCAAAAGGTGCGAGATCACTGCCACGTCACCGACACGTATCGTGGAGCGGCACACGCGGGCTGCAATCTCAAGTTGCGGGTAAACGAGAATACGCCTATACCCGTAATATTCCACAATCTGGCCGGGTACGACTCGCACCTAATCATGCAGGCCATCGGAGAGATGCAGGGGGAGATTAGTTGCATTCCGAGCAATACGGAAAAATACATTTCCTTTAGCTTGGGGAACCTGAGATTCATCGATTCGATGAAATTTCTAAACGCATCATTGTCGACGCTGGTGAGCAAGTTGCCGATCGACGAGTGCAAGCTCACCGAGACATTTTACGGCGCGGACGATTTGGAGCTAGTCGCGAGAAAGGGCGTATATCCGTACGAATACATGGATTCGTTTGACAAGTTTGAAGAGGTGGGTCTGCCCAAGAAGGAGCTATTTTACAGCAGCCTGCGCAACGAGGGTATAAGCGACGACGATTACGAGCATGCCACGAGGGTTTACGAGCAATTTAAATGTAAAAACCTAGGCGATTATCACGACCTTTACCTGAAAACGGACGTTTTGCTGTTGGCCGACGTGTTCCAAAACTTTAGGTCGACGGCCTATCAAGTATACGGATTGGATCCGTGCAACTATTTCACGCTGCCGGGTTTCAGTTGGGACGCGCTGCTCAGCAAGACGGGGGTAGAGCTCGAGCTGATTACCGACTTGGACATGCACATGATGATGGAAAAGGGAATCAGAGGCGGCATCAGCATGGTTTCCCATCGACGCTGCAAGTTTAACAACAAGTACATGGACGACCACGACGAGACGAAACCCAGCACGTACGGGTTAGATCTCGATGCCAACAATCTGTACGGGTGGGCCATGAGTCAGCCGTTACCAGTATCGGATTTTGCGTGGATCGATCCGGACGAGTATAAAATGGTCCTCAAGACACCGGTCGACGGCAAAAAGGGTTACTTTCTCGAGGTGGACCTGGAGGTGCCGGAAGAATTGCACGACGCGTTCAACGATTACCCCCTGGCACCCGAGGCACTCGCGCCCCGCCGCGAGTGGATGAGCCCCTACCAGCTCGACCTGTTGGGCGACGAAAATCCGGGGATGGAGAAACTCGTGCCGAACCTGATGCCCAAGACTAAATACGTCGTGCACTATAGAAACTTGCAGTTTTATCTGGCCAAGGGTCTCGTGCTGACCAAGGTTCATCGCATCATCGAGTTTACGCAAAGCCGGTGGATGAAAGAGTACATCGACATGAATACCGAGCTCAGAAAGGCGGCAAAAACCGACTTTGAAAAGGACTTTTTCAAGCTAATGAACAATTCCGTTTTCGGTAAGACTATGGAAAATGTTCGCAACAGGCAAACCGTTCATTTGTGCAAAACTAAAGAAGAAACTAGTAAAATAAACAAGCTCTTTGCGAAACCAAACTTTAACAGGTACGTCACTTTTAACGATAATCTCATTGCCATCCACATGAACAAGACGCGGGTCAAGCTCAACAAGCCAATCTATTGCGGTACGGCAGTCTTGGATCTGAGCAAGCTTTTAATGTACGAGTTTTACTACGACAAGCTCGTGCCCACGTACGGCGATCGCGTCAAGCTCTTGTACACAGACACTGATAGCTTGTTGCTGAGTATCACCACCGAGGATGTCTACGCCGACATGCGAGAGAATTTAGATTGGTTCGACACGAGCAACTATGACAAGGGTAGTCGTTTGTACAGCGAGAAAAATAAAAAGGTTCTAGGAAAGATGAAGGATGAAATGGGAGGATGCATCATGACGGAATTTGTAGGGCTCAGACCAAAAATGTATTCAATCAAGACGCAAGACTCGAGGCTTGATGTCAAGCGGGCAAAGGGGGTCGCCAAATACGTCGTAAGGGATCGTATAAATCACGACGACTACGTGCGAGTGTTGACGAGCAAGGAGGATATGCATTGCGACATGAGCTCGATTCGAAGCAACAAGCATATGCTTTACACGATCAATCAGACTAAAAAGTCGCTATCCCCGTTGGACACTAAACGGTATATACTCGACGATGGAACAACTACCTACGCGTACGGACATTACAGGCTAGAGCAAGCCCCCGGCTAGATCACGCAATCGCGTGACTATTTACGGAAATGACGTCATCGAGGTCGTGTGAAAATTATTATAATGTACATTGGCCAGAATGTTGGACCATGTTGTGCCGGGCGTGCGAAAATTACAATGTGCATGGGCGCGTCATCGTGTGAAAATTATTATAATGTACACGGTCGGAATGTTAGACCATGTTGGGCCGGGTATGTGAAAATTATAATAATGCACATGACCGGAATTTCCGACCCGACTGCCGCCATCGTATGAAAATTATAATAATGTACATGACCGGAATTTCCGACCCGACCCCGGTTGGGTGGATGAAAATTATAATAATGTACATGACCGGAATTTCCGACCCCGGTTGGGCGGGAGTACTCATTTACACTCTACTGCTTCTAAAGTAGCAACCTGTCTCCCCGACATAACATACCCCATCACAAACCGTACACCATATGAAATAGATGAGGTTATGGCTGTTGCATGTGAGGGAGGGGGTTGGATAGTGATACTAGTGTTCGGAATTTTGATAAGCCAATCAGTGAGAAGAATTTTACATATAGCACAACGGGCATTGCCACAAGGGCGATTACCGAGTTGAGGATGTGTGGGACGAAGCTGAGAAGAAGTTAGAAGAGATTTAAGGTTGTGGGGGCTGTCTTCTAGCTAAGACAGGGGGATCTCTGAATGCTTTCACAGAGGAGAGATTGTCTTGAATGATAGAAAAGTCACGTTTGCAGCGGGAAAGATTGTTGATTTGTGTGTTGTAGTCAAATACCATAGGGATGCGTTGGGATTG